ACAATTGATATGATGTCTCTGGACTTCTAGTCCCTAATCTGTACAATGGTGTGGTTGTGAGTATGCCTTGGAGAACTGGCTTGAGACTCAAGCCAGTTAATGAATACAAAGCACTCTACATGATGCTTGGACGTGGTTGTGAGCATGCCTTGGAGAACTCCTCTGAGACTCAAGCCAGTTAATGAATACAAAGCACTCTACATGATGCTTGGATCATAGTAAGACTTCTGTAGGTGTTGGTGATCTGTTCTCAGCAGCAACAGAAATGTTGGAACAACATCCTTCCATCATCGATTACTGTTCAATCACAATGCACACTGCTTGTCATTAGCTGCTTGAGTCATGTAGGACCAGATCTTCCCACAGAGGCTCAATGTCCATAAAGACTGTATTTCAAAAGTGACTGGAAACTATTGCTCCATGGTCATTTTCATCTACGATTACAAATAAGAATGATACTGTCACTGAATAAAAAGCACAGGCAAGAATAAGGTTCTATTAGTTATACCTGATGTGGTTCCATGAGTGCAAATATGAAGAAAGGTTGTTTACTTAGCACTAATTTGATGGAAGAGAATCAAAATGAACAGGAACAAATAAGTAACTCACTTTCAAGTGCAATGCAGAAAGAATTTTTTTCTTGGGGGTCTGGCCAAACATTTGGGGTGATCTGTGGTACTTTACATCCCATGATACTTTCAGAAATGTGATACCTGTCCTTTTCATCCAACAGATGAAAGGTATTGAGGACATTGATTTTTTTTAACCTCAGTTTAATGGAGGTGGAGGACTAAAATTCTCTTTCTCCAAATACAAGTGGAGAGGGACTTTACACACATATGCATTGGATTTTGACATGACATATTATTATAATATATTTTTGTGATAGCTACAAGTTTTCAAATGTATCCTACATCATGGATGGTAAAAACACCACCCCTACCTTAGAAGGGAACAAGCATAGCTTGGCCAAGATCACAGGCATTTCTTCCTCCAGTTCAGACCAGAGTTCTTCCGGCAGACTTCAGTGACTTCCCATCTGAAGACACAGGGCCAGGGTCTCTCACAGAGAAAATAACATTGTTTTTCCTGGATCCAATGCATGTCTGAGGCAGGTTGGTTTCCTAATCTTGCAGAAATGTTCTCAAAATATCCATGAGTACTAGATACATGCAACTTCCAAACCTGTCCCCCACGAAAGATCAACCATGTCAAGAGTGCATGTCTCTACAGCAACAACATAATCTAATGTTTTCATAATACCATCTCATAGGAGTGAAATATGTAATTTTCCTCCCCCTACCCTGTTTAGGCACAAGATCCTCAGGTCCTGGATCAGCTGTCCAAAAATATCACCAGGATGGGTCTAACAAACTTCACCCTCAACTACCTCAGGGTAAGACAGATTGAACGATACTATTCCTTTATTGAATTTGGAAAAAAAACTTTAGTTTTTGTGTTTGTTTGTTTGTTCTTTAATGTACACTAAACCAAAGAGTTAAATGAAATATAAGCCAGGCTGGGTAACATGGGCCATAATCCCAGCTTTAAGAGGCTGAGATAGGAGGACAATAAGTTCAAGTCTATATGGGCTACAGAGTAAGATCAAGGTTGTCCTTGGTAACTTAATGAGATCCTATCTCAAGTTAAAATAAAAATCATAGTAAGAGATCTGTTTATACAGCTCAATGGTAGTGTTTTATTAGCACATCAGGGGCCCTGGATTCAATTCCAAGTGGTAATAGTTAGTTAGTTAGTTAGTTAGTTAGTTAGTTAGTTAGTTAGTTAACTAAATTAGTAAAGCCACCTATACATAGCACAGATTTATATTCTGTATAGTCTGTGTGTCGTCCCCCTCATGTGGTGTGTGTGTGTGTGTGTGTGTGTGTGTGTGTGTGTGTGTGTGTGTGTGTGCGCGCGCGCGCTTGTGTAGGTGTAGTAGTGGTAGAGTTGTGGCTTAATTAACAATAATTAACAAAGCATCAAACCTGTACTTAGGTAGGGTTCAGTTTGCTCTTACAGTTGCATAACTCCTAGAACTAATTACTCGAAAAGAAACCATGTCCTTATTCTGTAGATGTTTCCCCAGCACTCAGTCTGCAATTGTGTCCACTTTCTAATGTGGCATTGTTTGAGTTCACTGCCTCTTTGTGTTCACCCTGGACTCAACTTCTCCTAAGGGAATCAGTGTGTCACTTGAGGCAAGTAGCCAGGGTTGCAGAGTCTTCAGAAGGAATTCAACTCAGTGCTGTAATGCAGACATTTATAGGCCTTACAGATTCTCTATTTAACATGACTTGGGTTTGGGTTTTTTTTGTTATTATTGTTGTTTCTTAATATAAATTGTTTTTATTTTTCAATATTAAGTGTTTTAGGCAACATGTCTTACCTATACAATACTAAGTGTCTCCATATTTGTTCTAAAAGAGTTACAGTGATCATACCAGTTTAATATAGAATTCCAACAGTCAAGTCACCAGTGGCATATCTGGTTTTATTCACAAAACAAGCATTGTACTCCAGAATCCTGAGAAAGTGGTGGCCACTTTGCCTCTGATACATTATCTCCTTACTGTGCAGCAATTTGTTTCACCAGGGTTACCCTCCCAGCACAGAGTTGAATCTTTGGCTTCTCTGCCCACCAATTTACTCTGTGTCCGTGGGTTCTTTTTGTATCCAATATGCTCTGTGTATAAGCCTTGCACCTGCTGAAATGCAATAGGTTTGGGCTAGGCTCACTCTTCTATGTGGTGGAAGCAGTGTTCTGTTTCACTCGCACATTTCTAGATGATGAAAATATGAAGAAAAAAGCCAACCTTCTGCCCCTAAGAAATTCATCCTTTAGGGGAGAGACTGATAAAAAGACACTGTGGAGGTTAAATACCAGAAGGAAACAAAAATACCTCAGGGAGAGAAATCATTCAGGAGAAGGCTTCATATGAAAGGTGATTAATGAGTGGAGTGGGCAAAGATGAAAACAAGAAAACCAAAGGAAAGGGCAGGAAGTTTCCACTATATGGAAAACAGAATCTACATCAGAAGATGCGACATATGTAAGCCATCTGAGCATTTAGCAGGTTTCGTGGTCACCATTCCCAGTGAGGAGCCAGGAGGGGTGAGAGAGTGGGTCTTGTCTGGCCTGGCTGCTGGGCTGTGCCAACTGTTTAGTGATGAGGAAATTCTGGCAGAGTCCTGCTTCTGGGTTAAGAGAGCAGATCCTCTCCATAGCCTAAAGGCCCTAGAACCAAAACCAGACCTGGCAAAAGCCAGAATCAGTTGGGCTCCCCACCAACTCATCCATCACCCTCACATTCATAACACACTTGAAAGAGTGTGTCTGCTTGGAGAAAACCCAAAACCTGCCCAGAAGGTAGGAAGCATGGGTGCACTCAGCCAGGGCACCTGGAGTTGTGTCCCCAAACCTTTGAACACTGCATTCTGAGTGAGCCTTGCTTGGGTGTGGCAGGCTCTGTGGATGGGTAGCTATTCCTGGGGACTGGGTTTGTTTTAGTCCTATGCACAGACCCCACATAACTGCCCTTCACTAGTGCATTATCTCTCATCAGGGACCAGAAGAAGTGAAAGCTATCAATGTCCCCTCTAAGAAGGAATGCCTTCTATGCCATGTCCTCAGCTGGCCTGCATAGAGATCAGGAACTCGGGATCCATAACAGACTAGTTGACTAGTCCTTTGGTGAGATCTTAGGCAGACTTTTGGTGACATCTGTTAGCTGCTTTGAATTAACAAAGATTAACAAAGATTAGATTAACAAAGGCCAAAGTTTCCTTCCATCCCTCCTCCCCTACCTCGCCCAATTATCTGTAAATTATTTCAATTTCACTGGGTAGTTAAGCCTCTCCAGGCCACCACATTCTACAGTCCTGTAGTTTTATCTCATGAAGACTTTGAAAGTGGAAGAAGGGCAACCCCTTTTTCCTGACTGTGAATGCAGGAACCTTTTGGCAGGGGTCAGGGGCTCTCAAGGTACCATGTCAGTGTGGTGGCTGGCTGTATGCCAGATCCTTCAACACACAGCTCCCAACCTAGAAGTCTAGATGTTTCACAAGAGCTTCATTCATAGTCACCTTCCTCAGGAGAAAATGAGATATGGACAGGAGACATAAGTGAAATATGGCACCCAGCTTTGCATATCAAATGGCAGAACTGGGAAGATGAAGTGAGGCAGCCTGCTAGAGCATCCATGTGTTTCACAGCACAACTCTGCCACTCTGAAGGTAGGAATGGACACTGAACTGATGGAAAGAGAGATGTAGCCAGTCCCTGTAGCATGGAAGCCATCAGAATTTTCAGCAATTTGGCCATGCTTTCTTCTTTCCAGGCCTCTAAACAGTCTCTCTCATTGCTGGTCACACAATTTCTGGCCTTCTCTCCCCATCTAAGCCTCCCAGGCCATATCCTTCTCTCCTATCACTTTTCATGAGGATCTCTCCCCTGGCATTCCTGGAGTCCTCAGCACATGGTCCCTTGCTGGATTCTTGGCAGGTCCCATATACAAAGCATCACTCTACTGTCTTATCTCTTGCTCCATGGTCTAAGTAATGTGAAAACTCCTAAGTTCCAAGGAAATGTCACTTGAGTGAATAGTTAGCAGACAGTTTGTTAAATGATAGATCTGATTTTGAATGACACCAGAAAAAAAAAAAGCCTGTATGATTAATTTTCAAAGTTACTCCTAAAATTCACCATGGAAACTAAGCAGCAGTGAAGTGGGTTGTATTGTATTGAAAAATAAAAAGAACCTCTAGCTCTCTCTAATGTGCAAAATTTCCACTTAAAGACCCTGACTCTGAAATTCCAGTGTCAGATTTTTATTCGCTAGCATTTCCGTTTGTTCTTTCTCATTATAATTTTTACACTAAATGTCATTTCCCACCCCCTCATTATTTTGGGAATGCATTTTTCCACTCTGAAGAACAGATTTTTTTTTAAGTAATTATTTTGTCTATTTCCTTTGGCCTGATTTTCTCAGCAACTCTGATATATATTTTATGGTTTAAATGTTATACTTGACAGAATGTTAAGACAATTATTATCCTGAATCTTAACTAAGAGATATTCCTTTTGTATATTCTCTGACTCTCGATCCATCCATATGCACAGTTTCTGTTTCATGAAATCAGGTTGCATGTGACTTCCCTTTTAAGAATATTTGTATTTTAAGTTTTTATATTATATATGTGTGTCTGTGTTGGGCTATGTGAAAGTGAGTATAGGTGCCTATGGAGGCCAGAGGTATCAGATGTCCCTGAAGCTGTAGTTACAGGTCATTATGAGTACTGGAAACAACTCAGATTCTCTGCAAGAGTAGCAAGTACTCTTAAGCGCTGAGCCTTCTCTTCAACCCAACATATGGTTTCTTATTGTTATTTGGTGAACAATGGCATCATATTAACTACTTATAATAGCCACAGCTACCACAGTATGGACGGTGACAATGTCTATTTAATTATCTAATGTTGAAAGGTGGTATCATCTTCAAATTGTTACTATCATTAATGGTTTCTCTGAACCCCTTTACACATGCTACTCTTTTTTTAGCTTATACATACATACACACACACACACACACACACACACACACACACACATATAGATAGATAGAGAGAGAGAGAGAGAGCAATAATGGCAATATGTTATGCATCAATAGCAGCAACAGCTTTTCCAGGTTCTGCAGTCCTTTGAACAAAATTGTAGAGACATCCAGCACACTCCATTTTAAAAAAACAAAAAACAAACAAAAACAAAAAACAAACAAACAACAACAAAGTAAAAAACAAAATCCCAGAAAACAGCACAGTTTTGTTACTCTTGTGGTACTTGACACCAGTTTTTTTTTTTAATTAGTTTCTCAGTCATCATCTGGGAGGAAACCATTCTGAGCAACATCATTAAAAACAGCTCTGATAAAGCATGGTCACTACTATGTATCATAAAGCAGGTTCACATATGAGTGAGTACAGACACTGAGGTCTACACATGTTACTCTTGACTGTGTTTCCTGACAGAGGGTTAGACTACCAGTTCCTCACTCAACTATATGGTCTTGAGCAAGATGCTTAAGTTCCCTGAACCTCAGTTTCCTCATCTGATGGTTAGGAAAGAGATGTCTCAGAAGACTGCCATGTGGTCCGGTGAATTTTACTTCATAAGTACCCAACATACAGAGAAGGCTCTAAGTACCAGTCACATATTGTAGCTAGGAGTCCAACTTCCATTGCTGCCATTGATTTTTTCATATTTAACTTTTCAGAGCCCTGCCCTCTGCATGCATGAATGGCTATGTCCATTATATGTCACAGCAGCTGTGTCACAAGTGAGGATTGCAGTGATAAAGCATGTGGAGAGTACTTTCCCAACTCTAAGTTAGTACTCCA